ATAATTAAAATATTGTACCTTACAGGGTGAATAATGATTCGGTAAATCTTTTTTGGTCAAAGTAGGTATTCCCAGCTAAAATACCGAAAAAAAAAATATCACCGTCAAATTCTCTCAATATTTGATATCGTATAGTACTCGACGTACTCGTTCAAAATTTTTTTTTGTAAAATTAGATCCTATGACTAGTTTTCCAAATATAACTTAATATGTACCAAATATATGAATTTTAAACAATAAATATATACTGACAAAATAGATATTTTCAAGAGAAATATCTTATATTAAATATTTTGATATACTGTTTTAGATTAAGAATATACCCCTTGTACTATTTTCAAAGAGACAAAAAAATCGTACTTACAGGGTGATTGCGGTTGAATATGTAAAAGGAAAAAATGCTGAAATTGTTGGCAAAAAATAGAAAATAATTGCCTTTTGACTTGCGAGTTGTTTATTAAAAAAATCTTATTAGTTTACACACAGGGTCATACATTATTGCATTACAAAAAAAGTTCATTATACGGTAGGTATAAGTAGGATCTAGGGAAATGAATAATGATCAGATTAAATGTTTATTTTGACTGAAGCATTGCCTCTTTATATTGTATATTTATATCAGATTGGGATATTGTTCCCGCGTAAAGTGTTAGCCCCTGTTTTTTGCTCATTCTGTGTTGATATTTTAATAGTTTATAGCTTACCTGTTCCTCTCTTGATTTTTCAAGGGCTTCTCAAAACAATATGATATGAATATAGGGTAATAAAATATTCGTAATTTTCGAATAACCTGCCTGTTTTTATATTTTCATTATGCAAAGGCATGCAAGTCGTTTTGTTAAGTATTTAATGATTTAAACTTGGAAATTTAGATAATCCTTAACATCCTGTAACTCTGTAATTTTTCACTTCAGACGTTAAGCTTGTTGTAATCGACACAACCAAGGCATTTTAAATCGACTTGGGTCTGATACCGTGTTAAGAATCACCCTGTATACTCGTAATGATAAAATATAAAGCTAAAGACTGTCTTCATGCCTGAAGTTTTGCTTTTTTATATCTACTATGATAATACATAATTTTTCCGAAGATTTTCACAAAAATTGATTAATCTGTATATTTTGTAACCTATGAGTTTTAGACGATTTAGACAATTTTTGTCTAGTTTAAGATCGGCTGCTAATGCTAATAATAATAAAAAAAATTGGGAAGACATAAATACTTTTAGTTTAGAAGAATTTAAATATTTAACTTCAATTTCTAAAGAGAATTTTCAAGAATTATATGAATTTTGTGAAATAGAACAATATGGTAACTTAAGAAGCATTGCTCAAAAATATTTACTTGCTTTCCTTGTTAAACTAGGACATGGATTGTCAGATGAGTTCATAAAATTACTTTTTAATTATTCATCCCGACAAGTCACTAGTATAGTCATATCTAATGTCCGTATGTCCCTGCTTTAAAGATTTGTACCTAGTAATATTGGATTTAGATCAATAACCAGAAAAAACTATATCATAAATCATGTCCTTGAATTCGTAAACGCGCGTTACAACCCTATAGCAAATATTCCAAAGGCCATATTTTATGTCGATTGTACATATAACTCAATTGAAAAAAGTAGTAATTTTAGAATATTACGTCAGTCCTATTGCTATTTTAAGAAGGAACATTTAGTTAAGCCAGAAATTACCATGATACTATTACTCGAGAAGATAAATCCACGCGCATGCGATCAGCTCATCTCTCTCGCACGCCTGACGTCACTGGGAGACTACCCGACTCAGCAACAGCCAGTTCTATACGGCGCAAAGCGGTTTTGCGTGTATTACTAATTATTTAATTTTGTTTTTTTTGATTTGTTGGGTTTTAGAAGTAAACGTGCGTAAAGCTTTTTATATGTTATATTTAAAAAACATTGTTTTAATCATTTACTATGGTATGGCAGTGGTGGGTTGTTCAAACAATAACAACCAAAAACTTACTGCTGCAAATTGAATCAATACTTCCAAATTTCTGTTGATGTTTAACTTTTAAAACGATTTATTACTTGTTTATCCAAACTTTTTTAATTTTTACCCCTCCTTTTTTACATTCATCCGTAATTTTTATAAAAATATTAAATTGATTGTAAAATGAAAATTTCTATACTTTAAAAGCTCTAAAATAAGATTAATAAATTTTTTTTCAAATATTTTGAATTTTTACCCCCTCCCCTTTATACCCCTACCTGTATTTTTTTATTAAATCTCTAAATGAATTTTAAAATTAAAATAGTACGAGACATCGATTTTTTAAATATTTTATATTTTTACCCCTCCCCTTTTTACTATATTTCTAATTATCGATTAAAATATTAAACGGATTATAAAATTAAAATGTCCATAGCCAAAAACCTATAAAACGACATATTACTCGATTTTTTACGAAAAATTGCAATTTTTTACCATTTTCCCCAAAATTTCACCCCCTTCCCCTTTACCAATTCCACTCAAAAATATTCTAATCCGACCCCTAATGGAATAACACCTATCTATAGCGCAATTCCTTTAAGAGTTATTGTGAATACCGACAGATATAAATTTTTTTTTGCTCATAATAACTTTTTTACACATTTTTGAATATTTTAAGATGTTTAGGCAATCCAAAAAATATTTAGTTTAATAATATTATAAAAATAATATATCAATATTATAATAAATAAACATAAAATATTGATTAAAACCACTCTAGCGTAATGCTTTTCCATGCCCACGAGATGGATTGTTGTCAACGGGTGACGTCATGCGCAAACGTGGTCGAAATTCGATCGTCAAGTGGGCTTATCTTCTCGAATAATAGTATCATGAGAAATTACAGTAGCTCCTGACGGATATATTTTATCAATCAATGGTCCCTATTTTTCTGATGCATCTAATAATGATACAGCAATCTTACGGCAACAATTGGTTAATAATAATGAATTTAGAAACTGGATTACAGAAGGAGATATAGTAAGAGTAGATAGAGGCTACAGAGATGTTATTCCTAGATTAGAAGGACTTGGGTTAATTACTTATATGCCACCTTTGCTTCATCAAAACTAACGGCAATTATCAACAAGTAAAGCTAATAGAGCGAGACTAACAACTAAAACTCGTTGGGGTGTAGAAACCAGAAATTGACATTTTAAATCCATTTTTAAATTTTTTAAAGGCCGCATATCCACGCATCATGCAGTTAATTTGAGTGGTTTTTATCAGATTGAAGGTGCGTTGTTAAATAAGTTTCACCCTCTTATAAACCTACCAGATACAATGGACATAGCAGTTGAAATTTTAAACAAACTAGATGACGTTAATATTATACAAGCACGCGTCGAAGCCCAAAATCTGACTACCAGAAATGGTCGGTGGCGAAGATTGAACCACATGCATATTCCTGAATTTCCTCGCGTAGAGATCAATTTCCTAAAAGACTTGGTAGGTTCTTACCATATTTATTTAAGTTCATCATACATTCAAGATAAACCGCAAAGAGAGGAAAATAATGTTTTAGAAATAGACGAGTTTAGAGAAGAGAATAATTTTTTACGTTTTAGAATTTATTCTAGGTTCAGAAACGTAACTAAATATATGCTGTGGTTGGCATACGAAGAGGAACTTAATGAAAATATTGATCCAATTTTCTACTATTATTGTACATGTCCATGCGGTTCGAGAACTTTAAGTACTTGCGCACATGTTGCATCAGTCTTATGGTTTCTTGGTTATGCAAGGCACCAGAATAATATAAGATTTCTAACAACACGTTTACTAAATAGCATCGATGATGCAGCAGATCGATTATTTCCAGAAAATATCGATCTCGGTCCCATAGTAGAAGAAAATTAATTGGTATTATCATCACGTATTTGCACCTAATACTTAACGTTAACGTCTTGGTTCAGTTACGTCAGTCATTTGGTCGTTTATCTTTAGTTCAGGCTGTTCTTTTAATTTAATATTTGACTTTTGTTTTCTTATATACCTTACACAGTATCTGAATTTATATCTTTCATCTGCGTTGTACCTAGCCGATTAGGTGAATTAATAATTAGCTTTTATTTCAAACCAAGCTTTCAGGAAAACCGAACATTATTTTGAAGTGCGATTTGTTTCATTTATTTGATATGTTAGTTGTACGGGTGGTAACGAAAAGAAAACGTCTAAATATGTTTAGTTTTAAAGTAAATACGTCGACAAGTCGAGGGTTTCTATGTGATTTTGACACCAAGGATCCAAGTCATTTTTCGAGTATTTTTAAAAAACTTCGTTCCTTTAGATTTCTTTACAACCCGTAGGCATAATTCATGAACTGATTGCTATATTAAAAGTAATGCTACGAAGTATACGTTTCTCGAAAGTTTCGTCAAAAGTAACCTCTGCATATACGGGGAATTAACATGGGCGATCGCCAGCCTTAAGGTGTTGCTTGAGTATAATCCTGGAAAAAATATTGGGTATTTGATTAAAGTGGGAATTAGAAACAAAAAATCTTCTTGAGTTTGCAAACACGGTTACTTATAATCCTTATAATTATACAACTGGGAATTTAAAGGAAACTTCTATATTTTATAAGAAAGTTCCATCCAATATAAAGTGCTTCTGGTCCTATATGAACTCTCTAAAAAAGGCCCAGACCTAATTAAGTATGTTTTAGAAAACCTCCATTACATTAACCCGGAAAATATACCCATAATTCTACCATTATTTGACAACCTAATCTCATACCTGTTTTCAGTCAAAATGTTGCAAAACGAATACTTAAATTAGATTCTAATTAATCTACATGTCCTGATGGAATATTAACTCTATTCTTGAAGAAATACTACAATTCTCTTGTCAATCCACTGCGTCGTATCTTTCCAAAATCAGTAAATATTTATGCGACAATATTTAATATCGAATACCACCGGTAATCGCATTAAATAATTATCACTAAATATTAACATTAAAGTATAAGATACGAATCATTCGTTTAGCTTTAGAAAGTGCATTATTGAAAGAAAATGATGTGTAGTGTAGTGCAAGTTGAATGGGCCAAAATGGGCAAAATTGGCAGAATTTTTTTGGGCGTGAATAAGACGTATCGGTAAGTTTTTGATAAATTTATTACTATGTCGTTTATTGTGCTGCTCTATAAATTATAATAAATATTTTCTAGAATATTGCTATTTATATTTGTTTAAAAATCAACAAGTTTATTTAAAATGCATTTTTTTTAATTAACATCCAAGTAGGTTGTTTAAATAAACAGTAATTATGGTAAAACATTTTTTCTGCTAAACACAAAATGATGGTATAAGCAAGTTAAAGCAAGCAATAATTTTTATAAATACATAAACTGGAAAAAAGTCCTTAATTTTAAGACTTAATTTTAATATACATAGAATTTCAATGAAAATTATCCAATGATTCAAATGTGAGGCTATCAGGAACAAAAATAATTATGTCAAAAAATTATTTTTGCTTAGGAATACTCCTTGTAACTTTCACCTTGTACTCCCTATTTGCTCCGTGCGAAGTCATGGAAAGGGAAACAAAAGCGATACTAGCGCTAGCTGCGGATAATTCGTGCATTTTAGGGCGATATTTTGTAATTTTGGCATATCAAATACACGTATAAATTTTACTTTTTTTCAAAAAAGTAGGTAAAAACAATACAATAAGCAACCGGAGTTGCTGTGTTGAAAATTGTACAAATACTAGCAAAAAATACAGTGAAACTTATATAAAAAATTTCAGTAGCAAAGTGGAAATTAAATCAAAGAAATAAATGGATAGGTGTACAATAAGAAGAAAAATTACCTTTATTTTTGTAATAATAACAGTAATGCTGGAAATAGTAGACATCAGAAACTTGAAAGGTTTTAAATAAACAATAAATTATCATTTTACGATGTTCTTTAATATCCCTTTATTCTTAAATATTTATTTAGCAAGGACTAGAGTTCAAGATTTCTGTCTTTGATTATTATATGTGGCTGGAATGCAATTTTGTGACTTACTGATGAGAAACCAGTTTGAATCATTTATTCTATGTTTTCTTTCGAACAAAAATGAAAATATAAACAATGATCCTTTTTTTATACATTTTAACTTCACGCTATTATTAAATGGTATTTTTTTATTTTGACATAATAGACAAACACCCGTGTGCATAGTCGATTGCCAGCGATTCGACAGAGATTCATTCCGGCGTAGCCAAGTTTTCATGTTCTTTTATAGGAATTATCACCGACATCTCTCGCATTTTATTATTGATTCATTTCTTAAAACTCAAAGAACAATGAACGAATATAAAATTTTTCCCTATAAAAGAACATAAAAACTTGCGTGAAATGACATGCCGGTGACAATATCCAGCGAGTCGCCACCTTTTCGGGCGTTTGCCGACGGATCGCTGGCGATGCGCCGAAATGAATCTCTGTCGAGTCGCTGGCGATCGACTATGCATACGGCTGTAATTCTTCAATGACAACTTATTAGACTTAGGCAACTTCTTATACATTTTTCAGTAAATACTGTTGCCTGCCTATATTTTTTTTATTGATTTTTATTGATTATACATAATTTGCTTTAATTTAAGCGATAAAATACATAATAATATTAAATTAATGTTTTACTTGTTTTAAAAATTCATATACTTTTATTAAAACTAACATATATACTTTTTAATTACGAATACAGTTCATCAAATTTCTAGAGGCTTTCGACGGCTAGACAGAGAAAGCACTACTGACAGGCATCCCGACGGATTTACGCAATGAAAGTACACTCTGCGCATCAAGTATTTCACTATTTCATTCAGACGTAAATGTCAGATGTAAATTTCGCTAAAACATTTCTTTTATTTTCGTTTGTGTTTTTTGCTCATTACAGTTTAATAGAACCTACGTATGGAGTTTAATAGCAAATTAAGAGGCCGCGTGATTAACAGTCAATCTCGCGAAATAATAGCCAATGTTATAGAGTTTATGAGAAGAGAAGGAAACTTTAATTCACCTTCAATACCATTTAAAAATGTAAATGATCGTGTTGCTGCAGCCACAGGAGTATCTAAAAACACTGTCGTCCGCATTTCTGGAGAGAAAAAAAGAATCGATAACCGTGAGATATCGGAATTTTCATCACCAAGAAAAACCATTAAAAAACCAAAAACAGTTAATGATATAGATGAAGCTGCACAAGAATCAAATTTTATTTTTTTATTATTAGATAGCTATTTTTCTTTCTGAGTTGTGTTCATTTACAGGCTCAATTTTTTTCCGTTTCTCCTTTTTGATTTTATATGGGGTTTCAAGTTGTTTTTGACTTATTTCGACGTAAATCACAACAACACACTTTTTTAATAAAGCAAACAAGTGTTAAGAGGTATATGTACGTGTAAACTACAATTACAAAAAATTGATATGAAACCCATGAAACCACCAACAAAAATGTAAAGCTAGCTTCCGTACTAGAACATGGTGTCATTCGTCGAGATAATTTATCGTTTTGTTTAATAGATCAAGAAATGTAAATATTCCCGTTATTTTTTATAAAATTATAAGAGAAATAAATTTTTTTCTAAATAGTATAGTTTATTATTTTGTAGAAAAACAAAATTTCGAAAATTTTAGTAATGTTTCAGAAACAACCGTTATTAATAATAGGTACCATTTTCCTTAATAAGGTAGAAATAAAATATAAACTATTTCCACGATTTACAAAGGCCTACAAAAAAATTATAGGTATTTTCCGCTATCCTATAAAATTTATATTTTCTGACTCTATTTCAAAAGGTTGAAGGAATTCCAAAACACCTTTTATGGCATAATAATTATTTTCAATTCTACATACTATCTTTAGCTGCTTTTAAAAACGTTCTAAGAAAGTCCAATCAGACCAATTTAATCCCTAAACTATTCCACACTTTTAAAATTTAATTACCTAAAAATATTAAAAACTATTTAAAATAACTTGTTTAGCAGACTGTACAATAGCTATCTTAGTCACACGTAGCGCGTTCTCTGTCTGGGCGTCGAACACCTCTAGAAATTTGATGAACTGTACTATTAACAATTGTATTTGTCAGTATACGCCACATACTTTGATTACTATACGGGGCAAGAGCATGTAGGTATAATACTAATGGAGATGCCATGAGGCAATTGTTTTGCATATGATACGTTTTATTAAAAATGACCCCACTGGACTTGGCTTAAATGGTTGACTAAGCAGGGTCGTATTCAAATATAATTAAAGTCCGTATGTAGAATTACAACTTTTAAATGACTTATTGGCTATTGACTATTGGCGGTAGCATCAGATGTGCATCCAGGTAAAGATGGTATTGTACGTACTATCACCTTTAAAACAAGTAAGGGTATAGTCAGACCAGTGGTAAAGGTATGTCCTTTGCCCACACAGTAATTGAAAAACATTTAATTTTTTTTTTATTTTAAGTATATTTAGTTTATTTTTTTTTTGTGTCACCGGCATCAACTGCTATGGTTATTAGCCTCGTGTTCTGTGTAGGCTTTGTTACTGTTTCCCAGCGCCACTTTAGGAACAGCACTGTTAATTAGAACCCAACAGTGAATGGTCGAGTGGAGAATCCTACCAAGGCATCAGAATTAATTTTAAATAATTAAATTAAATGAAAAAATCCCGGCCAACGGTCGGATTCGAACCTGAGACCTTCCGATCTCAAAGTCATGACTCTAACCACTGAGCCAACCCCCCCCCCCCATATTTAGTTTATTATTTGTGATTTAGCATTTCCTAGCGGGGTTTGGAAATTTTTTAGTTATATTTGGATTTTTGTTTATTTTGTAGTTAACAATTGGGTGCTAAAAATCCTATTTAAATTTCTTTCAGGGTGAGGGGTATGTTCAGTAGAGTTCGTATAAAGTTTAAGACGTGACAACGTCGCTATTCATATTTTGTGATTTCTGTACACTCGGTACAAAAGTAGTTATTAATTAAGACTCGGTCGAAAAAGATTTGATTATTGAAAACCGGCTATACAATTAATTCGGTATTTTTGATATTATAATTAATAGTGCACTTCCCTTTTTCTTTCCTTAACCCTATCCCAAAGTGCCCATCAATAACTTTGGATACGACCGTCAAGAATATCGGTAAGTAATGTTTATGAATTTATTTAGCCCATAAGGCAATTTTCCGTAACATGTACGGTAGTCGTTAGTAACAACATTAAACAATGACATCATTTAAGATGATGGGTAAGTTTTTACCATGGAGGTATAATACTAATGGAGATGCCATGAGGCAATTGTTTTGCATATGATACGTTTTATTAAAAATTACCCCACTGGGCGTGGCTTAAATGGTTGACTAAGCAGGGTCGTATTCAAATATAATTAAATCCCGTATGCAGAATTACAACTTTAAAATGACTTACTTACCTAAGATTTGTCTCAACATGATCGATTCGAAATTAATTTGATGACATTGCGCAATTTTTATGTATTTAAAATTACTCATGTGAATAAACATTATTATTATTATTATTATTATAATTATGACTTCTTCACTATTTACTATTATTTATTAACCGTTTTCCGACCAAGCCAATGCCAAAACCATAAAAAAGATTAATATTATTATATTGGTCTGTCTTCGCCGAAACCGTCCGATATATAATAATAATAATAATAATACTCTCCCTAATTCACCCCCATACGAGTGAATTTTAACCCCAAAAGCTCAGCTTGTCCGGGGAAAGGGACGGCTATTATTATTATTTGCCGTGGCGCTCCGGGGCGACTTAAAGATGATTGATGGTGCCATTTGACTTACAGGTGAGGAAAACCCGGAAAACCTCACCCACCATCATCGAGACGGTAATGTATGGCGAATTTTTTTAATCTGCATGTCATATCAACAGAAAATGAATTTCTATTAATACGCCACACATCAAATCCTAAACCAAACCATGCAATTTAATTAAAAATCCACATGGTCTGGTCTGGGATTCGAAACCCAGCGGTCTCAGACTCATAAACTTGCCTATAAATGAATATAAGCGCGATAGACCGCTACACCACCGTGCCCGATATGACCTGTGTGATCGAAAATCAACGT